TGGTTCTCAGGAGGACAAAGGAACTCATTGGCAGAATAATTATGCAACTTCCACCCTGTTCTGTTGTAGTGTTGATCTACATTGTCCCATCTTCCCCTTGGATCCAGCTGGGAAGGCCGTTTCCCTTTGGCATTCCCTTGACTTCCCAGACCCTTAACGGGAATGCTGAGCGGAGCAAGGATGTTATTTCTATGGAAGGCAAAGTTCTGCACCTTCTGATGGTGTAGGAAGTCAAGCCTGTGCAGATGATCCAGGCCAAATGGAGCACATGCTGAAATCTCAAGACATTACCTCACTGTCCGTGGTGGTGAAGGCAGGGGTTAAGTGAAGCCAACCACAGCTCATCAAAGCAATTATTGGGAGCCAGGAGGAATCCAGCTCTGCCTTCTTCCAAACTTACATTTGTCAACCATTTCTCACAGTTTGGACCGTGCGAAGAAGATTCCAGTGGGATCCTGATTTTAAGATAAATGAAAAGAGGCGAGGGAATAGCCAAACAGCTGGACGGAAAATCCTAAGCAAGCGTAATATTCACACCAGGCTTTTGCATCTACTGGTGTGCTAATGTCATCTCTTGGCACCGGTGGCTGCGTGTAATCTTGTTCTTTATCCACATAAACAGCGCAAGGGCTATTCATTCATAAGCAGCAGGTGGGACCCACAGCAATATGTGGTAATGTGGAGTTGGCCTTTGTTCAGGAGTTCACCCATTCCCTTTTCCAATCCTCCCTGTTTTTTCTTACCCCCAGCCTCAGGAAGCAAGCAACATGTCTGGGCCTCTGAGTCTTCATTGGCCTGGATTTGCAGTTCCTCTTCAGATTATTTTCCCATTAAAAACTTTGTGCACTTTTGCAGACCTTGGCATTCCGAAGACTAAGGGTGGGTTTTTATTCTCTGTTTCTCATGTTCCCATCTTAAATTCAGTTCTCCACATTCTGCAGCAATTTGCAATGTGTGTGTTTTTTAAAAATCCTTGTTCAGTTTTTGTTGGTAATTCATGAAAATTCGTCAGCATTTTCTCCCAATAAACATGTTTTCCTATGCCTTTTAAACGAAGCAGTTGAACTATTGAGCTCTCAATCTCAGTTATACTGAATAGCAATTTGCAAGACACTATACAGTGGTGCCTCGCAAGACGAAATTAATTCGTTTCGCGAGTTTTTTCGTCTTGCGAAGCACGGTTTCGGAAAAGTTTTGGAAAAGCTTCAAAAATCACCAAAGTCTTCAAAAACCTCAAAAAAGGCTACCACACCGTGTGCTATGAGTTGCTCCTCGAAGTCAAGTCGCAACTGTATTAACAGTGTTAAGAAAAAGGAAACAAACTTGCAAGACGTTTCCGTCTTGCGAAGCAAGCCCATAGGGAAAATCGTCTTGCGAAGCAACTCAAAAAACCAAAAACCCTTTCGTCTTGCGAGTTTTTTGTCTTGCGAGGCATTCGTCTTGCGAGGTACCACTGTCTATATATATATATATATATATATATATATATATATATATAAAAGTTCCTGTTGGTGTTATTTTGAGTCACAATACTAATTGCATTGGGACATTCAGTGTACATTATATGTTTATTATATACAGAGTTGTGTTTGATCAGATTCTCTGTATTCCTTCCTTGTTGGATTTTAAACTAAAGTACATATTGTTTGCAAGTGATTCCTCCTAATATTATTATTAATAATATATGATTGCTTCTAATACCGTGATCATATTTATGCATACTTTCCCCTAATATATGCATTTTGTATACAAATTTAATAAATAGTCAATTTCTTCCTTTGGATGTACTACTTTTGGCTTAGAAGATTCCAAAAATCTGGCCATTCTGCTTGGCATTACACTCCTTGGATGTAATATTCCTGAAGAAGCTTTAAAACCTATGTTGTTGTTGTTGTTTTTAAAGGGTGGTTGGGTGCGTAGCCTCCATAACAGTGTGTTTTGCTAACCAGTTATCTCTATGTATCTGGATATAAACAAATACGCGGCAGAATATGATGGCAGCTAGTACCTTGGGTTAAAATCCAGTTGGGAAAAACAGGGCAGCTTAAAACTTGCTCACATTTATAACAGGCCTCATGTGAGAGTCTCTGGAGGGGAGAGCAGCTCAGAAGTGTTGCTGTTTGGCTCATAGCCAGGTGTTGCTTGTGTGCAGATACTGTTTGCATCGTCAAACCATCCCCTTCCAAAAGCAAACACACACACACAAGCCACCGGTGACAATATTATTGTAGAACCACTGACTGTGTGTTTGTGTATGCAAATCTCTGGAAGCAAGCAAGGCTAAAATCTCTGCAAAGAAGGCCTGGATTTCTTTGTTCGACAGCTCTGTGCATGGATCATAGATTGTAGAATTGTGGAGTTACAAAGGACCCTGAGGACTTCGCACCTGTCCCATATGGAGATTGAACCTGCAACCTTGGTGTTATCAGCACCACACTCTAACCTGAATTCTGTACAGGGACCTGTGAAGGATTAACCACTAGGCAGACCAAGTGTGGGGCCCCAGCAAAGCAAGGGGCACCCCAAAAAATTGATAATCTTTTAAAAAGAATATATATATATATATATATATATAATCATTGGGGGGGGGGAGTCAGAACTTTGCTCCACTCCACACTCTTCTCTTATTTTCCCTGTTGTTTTTTTATTACTCATCATCATCACTGTCTGTTTACTTGAATGCCACTTTCCCACAACATTGTGCCCAAAGTGACTCACATCTCAAGTGAACAATTAAGTACAATGGTTAAAAAAGCATATTAGAAATAATAATATCAATCATTTTTTTAAAAATCCATGCAAGTGTTTATAAAACAATACAGACACATTGAACAGCTTAATACTAAACAGGAACAAGAATATCACCTAACACAATAATTAAAATTAGTGCACAAAACATCCTCTTGCTCCAATATAAGCCAAGACTTCTGTAGCTAAATTATTCAGAGTCCTCTCTGTTTCTGTCTCCCCTGCTCCTTTTCCATCCTTCTCTTCAGTTCTTCGGCATTCCTTTCCTGTCTCCTGCATCTTTCTCTACACAATTCTCTGCACCTTTTCTAAAATTTAAGTATCCCCACCTAAAACAGGGAGCATCCTACTACTGTAACATAAATCGAAACAATGTGAGGTCATCAGATCCTGCCATGTGTTGCACGTTACATACATTTAGGGTTGCCACCTATCCTGTATAATACAGGATCGTCCCGTATTTCAATGTAAAAGGCTAATTTCTGTATTGATAGTTTTTGTCCTGGATTTCAGGTCTTCTCTCTGTGTGTGCCAAGTCAGGGATCTTCTCCAAATGGATGTGTTTGAAAGGGTGTGTGAAAGGTCAGGTATTTAAGCTCTGGATAGCCAAGTAGAGACAGATTTAAAAATTCATGTGTGTGTGTGTGTTTGGGGGGGGGGAATTCAAGAGGGGCCATCCTGTTAGGCTTCAGCACCATAAAATTTGCCTCCCAACCACCCCGCCCCACATTTTGCCAGAACAAAGCTGGCAACGCAAATGCATGTGCATCTCAGCATCCTTGTAAGCTTTGTGCCATTTTGAAAAATAAACTTTTTTGTTATGGTTTAGTGCTGTTTCGATTTCGAATTACATATGGCGGGGACACCGTAATGTTTTCAGTGCTTAGGGCCTCTAAAGCTCTTAATCCGGCCCTGACAGAGATATATATGTCTGTTAGTCCTGGTGCTTCATAGGGCCGTCAGTATTAAAGGAAAATTGTGGGCCAGAATGTCTGTGTGTGAGGCCTAGTTCTGTGCAGAGGTGTCTGAGGCTGAATTCTGTACACTCCCCATGGGGGCCACAGTCAACAGGGCCATTTCGAAGGTGTGCTACGGTCATTCCTACTCATACAATCCTGTTCCTTCTCACAGAATTAAAACCTTGCCAGGCTGGAAATCGCTCGTAGATTTCCTAGCTTTAAAAAATTTATTTATGTGTATCTATATTGCTATGCTGCTTTTAGGCCACAAATTGGCTCGTAAGCATAATAAAATCATGTTTTATTGCTGAAAACATCAGCATCATTTTTTTAAAAAACCCAACCCCCCAAGGATCAGGTAGCCATTCTTTTGCTGCAGAGCAAAAGCCTTCCTAGGCCACATTAGCATGATGTAATCAGTCCTGGGCACAGATAAGTTTTTACAATGCACCACTCCTTGCTTGTGTTGCTGATTTTTATAGTTTGTTTGATTGATTGATTTATTTTAACGGGTGGGGGGGGAGTTAGATAGACTCGCCTTCCTTGGAGGTTTTTAAACAGAGGTTGGATGGCCATCTGTCACTGATGATTTAGCTGAGATTCCTGCCTTGCAGGGGGTTAAACTAGATGACCCTCAGAGTCCTTTCTAATTCTAGGATGATTCATGCAATTTTTTGTTGGCCTTCATATTATGCAGAAGGACATAAGAAGTGCCTGCTCCATCAGACCGAAATCCTGACAAGGTCAGCACCCTGTTCTCACAACGGCCAACCCCATGTCTGTGGGAAGCATGCAAGTGCAACACAGCTCTGTCCACCTGTGATTCCCATCCACTGTTATCATAGAATTGCCCAGCTGGAAAGGGACCCCCAAGGGACATCTAGTCCAACCCCCTGCAATGTAAGAATCTCATCCATGACAGGTGACCCTCCAACCTCCTTTTATTCCAGCGGCGATAGAGGATAGCCATCAGCGCTAGCAGCCCTCCTCCATGAATTCATCTATCCGTTTTTTAAAGCCATCTAAGCTGATGGCCACCGTCGCCTCTTGTGACAGTGAGTCCCATAGTCTTTTAACTATGGCCTGTGAGAACATCTCTCTGGCCCATTTGTGTGCCAAATTCAGACGCGAAGAGGCCTGTTCCTTGACTTTGACGCGCTATGTGCTTGACAAGAAGTCTGGCAGCCCTCGCCCTGAGCGGGATTTGAGGGGCTGGGCGTCGACGGTTCCCTTTGCCCTGCTTGCGATTTGAACGGAGTCATCATTGTCGTGGCTACTCTTTTATCGCCTTTGATTGCCTTTTCCAAGAGGAGTGTCCCGATAGGGAGCCCCCTTAGGCTCCCAGGCCGGTGATAAGGAAGGCGAACCAGAGAGAGAGAGAGGTCTTTAAAGGAAAAACAAGCGAGCAAGAGGCAAGGCGAAAGCGGCCCGGTTTGAAAAGAAGCGGCACTTGGAGACGCAGCGGCGAGGCGCGCGTAGAGCGGGGCGCACGGAGCCCTTTTGCGCCCGGGGATCGGCTGAAAGTCACGACCCCGGGAGGAGAAGCAGCTGCGGCGGCGGCGGCGGCTGCTCTCCTTTGCCTTCCCCGCTCGGAGCTGTTGCTCGCCGGCGATCGCTCAAAGTGCTCCCCCAACAGGCAAAAACTTTCTCTTCGCGCACTCGCGCTGCCTCGCTCGCAGGCACACACACTGACGTCTTTTGCGCATTTCCTGCATTAGGGAGACAGACCCAGAGAGCGAGCGAGAGAGCGAGCGAGAGGTGGGGTAGGGCTCCTCCAGCCCAGCGCCAGACACACCAGGCGGGCGAGCGGCGCAAAAACAGCGAGCGCCCGGAGAGAGCAAGCGAGCGAGCGAGCGAGCGCGGGGAAAGCGAGTGCCAAGGGAGCGAGCCGGAGACAGAGAGAGCAACCCATCGCCGTGCTGGTTTGGGTCGTTTGGCGAAATATATTATTATTTTTGTTCTAGATCTATTATTATATATATTTTTTAAAAATAAGCTCCGTAAGTTGAACTCCCGCGCTGAGCAGTCCGATCCGGAGCCGCATCTCCCCATGCCTTGGATTCGATCCACTGGATCCTTGGCCTTGGAAGAGGAGGAGGCGGAGGAGGAGAAGGCGGCGAGGAGGCTCCTGCAGCCGAGGCGGATGTAAGGTTCCCTGGCTGGGCTGGACTGTGTGATTTCTCTGCTGCTTCGTCTCCCAGCCGGGGAGGCGGCGGAGCAGCCAGGGCGGCTCGCTCGCTTTGCTGCTTCTGGGTGGGTTTTGTTATTATTTTTCAAACTCCCCCTTCTTCCTCCCTCCTCCTGGGCTGCCGCTGCCGCCGCCGCCGCGCCGCACACAGACAAGACAGCACTAGCGTGTGCAAGAGCTTCGGATTGTTTTTCTGTGTGTGTGTGTTTGTGTGCAGAAGACTGATCCAGGATTATGATCTAAAAAGGGGGGTTGCGGAGGAGGAGGAGGAGGGGGGGAAAGAAAGTCTGTTTCTCTCTATCCAGAGGCTCCTCTGATTTTGCTCCGATTGCATTTTGGATTCCTGCAAGCAGGGACGTCTCCCCCCCTCCCCTCCCCTCCCGTCCCTTCCTTGTTTTTCCGTTAGGAAACACACACAGGCAGAGAAAGGACGAGACCTCGATGCATGTCTGCATGCAGGCGTGTGTGTATTCCCCGGGCGTCGCGAGAGGAAGGGCTAAATAATCACAGGTAGCAGAAAAAAGCAACAAAAGGAGAGAGCCCCCCCCTTTCCCGCCGCCCTGCTGTTCTGAAGCCTGCACCTCCTTCCACTCCAAACCTGCCTTCATATTTATTGGAGAAATCTCCTCGGATCCCTCCGCACTTCAGAGTGTGTGCTTTAATCCCAGGGAAAATTAACAACAACAACAACAACAACAACAACAACAACTAGTGAAGCCATCTAACCATGGTGGTTTTCAATGGCATGCTGAAAATAAAAATCTGCGAAGCGGTGAATCTCAAGCCCACAGCTTGGTCCCTGCGGCATGCGGTGGGTCCCAAACCACAGACCTTCCTGCTGGACCCTTACATTGCCCTCAATGTGGACGACTCCCGGATCGGCCAGACCTCCACCAAGCAGAAGACCAACAGCCCTGCCTGGAACGATGAGTTTGTCACGGACGTTTGCAACGGCCGGAAGATCGAGATGGCCGTTTTCCACGATGCCCCCATTGGGTACGACGATTTCGTGGCCAACTGCACCATCCAGTTTGAGGACTTGCTGCAGAACGGGAGCCGCCACTTTGAGGACTGGGTGAGTGTTCGCGTCGTACATACACACACGTCCGCGGCACTGAGAGGTTACAGGCTGTGCAGGTGTCTGTGGCAGGTTGGGCTTCGAGCTGGATGGAAACCCTCCCCCCCCCCCTTGTTTGACAGATGTCTTGGAAGGCATGACATGGCCCTTGGATGGAGGGCTTTGTTGATGCTGAGGCAGGTGGCTGAGCTGTTCATGTAGATGTTGAGGCTGTCTTGCCTGCTTTGTGAGAATGAAGGCATGATTTCTCCTCAAAAGAAAACCCACCACGATATGGTCTGAATCCCATTAGTTTTGTTTTCACGTGTTGCTTATCCTGGGAGACACGAGCGTCCCCAGGTAGCGCCATTGCCTTCCATACTCAATAAGGCTAACCCTATACTGTATATTTTCTTCTCATTTCCTGTGCTTAAGAAATCATGTCTTGCCACTTCTGCAGCCTCAGGAGAATTGGGCTCATGATGCCTTTGGGTTATAATAATGCTACACTTGTCCAGCTCTTGAATCGCCTCAATCTTTTGCTGTAATTGCCCGGCTCCTTGATGGCAAAAACAAACGATGAGCTACTTTTTTTCAGGTCTTCCCTCGCATGCATGCACCACACAAAATCCCAAACAGGCCGGGCATGTATCAATGAAAGAACAGCATCAGATTCTTAGATATGGTACCCAGACTCTGAGACTTCCTGGCTCTCTGCTGCTTTCTATGGCCTGCACGATCGACAAAGTTGTCCGTATGCACTTTTTAAAAGCATCCTGATGCTTAACGATTCCTTGTCTTCCCCTCACGAAAAGGGCATAACTTGCATGTCACAATCTTAAGAGGGTTAAGAGGTGGTGGAAAACAGTTGTCTAGAGCCTGAGACCACCCAGAACCCAGGCAGCATGAAAGCTAGCTTGAAAAATAATGTTGATAATAAAGCAGTCTCATTTGAATGTGGGAGATGCGACTGGCAGAGGTGGTGTCAAACTGGCTCAGGTGTTGCCTGGCCCCACTGGATTCTGCTTGGGGTGATACTGAGAATGGGTTTCGAGCTTGTGAGTAATAAATGAATGAACTGGGGAACCCAGTGTATATTTGACCATGAAATCTCCTGGCCCGCAAGTGTGGGGGTCTGTGGATGTAATAGCTTCACCCCAGACTCCTGGGGATGAAGTAACGTTTTAGTAGGCCTTAAAATGCGCACCTCCATAGGGTTGATGGGGGCAAGGCTTACAGGGCAGGACTGTGAAAGTGGAATGTTAATTGGACTTTCAGAGAAAAGCTGTGTTGCTTGGCCATATAAACACCTGAGCAATTGTTGTCAGTTGTATGTAGTGTGTATGTGTGGGGGGGAGTTGGCTTATCAATACGGACTAAGATTCTTGTTTGATTTTGAGGCATCTTGCCATGATTTAACTGAGGGTATGAAGTGCATAACCATGAAGAACGTTTCCCCGCACTGACATTATGGTATTATAAATATACATTTGAGATACTCCTTGTTTCAATTTCACACGTTACATTCCTCTGCGCACTATTTAAACTAGTTATCTGTTGCAAGTAGAAAAAATTGTATGTCTGAGCAGAATCTAAACCCCCAGATATTAGTACTGTGGTACATGAACTGAATAATGGTACATGCAAGCTTTGATCCCATTCCTTTCCCTTGGAATTATTTCCGGCAATTCCCTGGGTTTTCTCCAAAGGATACGATATGAAGGTTACAGTTTTGGTTGGTGAAGATGGGAGTATCTTTAGTTGCTTAAGACACTGGAAGTAATGCTAAACTCGCAGTATTATACACCTGCGATATTATCTGGGCCTGTAAACATATTTTGGCAGCCTTTTAGAAAAGCCCTTGTTGTTATGATTATTTATATGGCGCGTCACTCAAACAAAGTAGCTTGCAGCTTTTAGGTTCAGAACAATCTTGTGTGGTTGCTATACCCATTTTACAGATGGGGAGACCAAGAGAGACTGACTTTCCACCTATCTTGGCAGGGATTGACTGAGCTTGCTTGCCTGAGATCTGCCATCTCGCTGGCCTGCATTAGCTTTTCAGAGGCAGGTGAAAAGACTTTGGGTCTTGCAGTGTGCAGGAACTCAACTCAAGAGGGTGTTGTTGATCCTGTCTCTGCGATCTTGAGCAGAATTGGCAATGAACATAGGAAGCTGGTGCAGGCAGACAGGCATTCTGTGGTGGACGTGGTCTGAGCACATATGTTCTGTCCTGTAAGCAAATACCTGGAAACACTGCGAGTGTGTTTTCGACCACATCCACCGACTTCTCTCTTGCAGGATAGCACTCACTGCAGTGCTGTTTACTTTGACTGACAGCAGCTTTTGCAAGTTTTCAGCCGGAGGCTTTTCTTAGTTATATTTTCTGGGAACCATTTTTTTAAATGGATATATCGGGGGGGTTTGAAGCTGGGAGGTTCTAATCGCAACACAAGGAGGACTGCTCTAGGTTTGCAAGGATGCTGAATTCACCTCCCTTTTTGCACAGGTCGATAGGAGCCAGGGTGTTTATAATCTTTCCCTTGCAAATAAAAGAGAAAAAAACCACTGGAAGAAGCAAATTCCCAGCTGAGCCACACTGTGCTGAGCTGCTCACCTCCTCAAACAGTAAAGAGTCATGAATTTGGAACATCATTGTTTGGTGATGATACATCAGACTTAAGAAATATTTGCGCTGTCTTTTCTGATATGGTATAAAAGGAATAAATCAGCGGGAACAAATTGACTGGTGCAGGTATATCTGCGTTGGCATCGTCATCTCACAGGAAGCATTTAGAAATTGACTGATGAAGCCATATGCTGTCAGCCTTCAGGTGTGGATACTGGGTTGCTATTGTTTTTGGTAAGATGTCGTGCTGCAGCCCCAAGATTGCGTCCCAATTTGCGATGTAGTTAGTGTTCTAGCTAAAAAGGGCATTAGTTTTGGAAGCTCTAGGAAAAGTAATGCTGGAGAAAATAGGGAGTTTTGCTTTTGGAACAAACAGGGTCCCATTAACAGGAATGTGGGGAACTTGTTCCCCTACAGATGTTGTTGGACTACAACTCCAGATGTTGAATGGGGCTGGAGGGAGCTGCAGCCTGTCAACATCTGGGAGCCAAAGGTGCCCCATCTTGGTATTCAGATGTCCCAAATCCATGATCCGAAGGCACATCTTGCATGGTGTGTTCCTGGATTGAAGACTCTGTTGATACTCCACGTACACTGCCTTGTGTGTCTGTTATGCTGGCATTTCTAAGAGTACTCTGAAACATTTATTTTTAAGCGTACACTTTAAAATGTAATACGTGAAGTGGCCTTAAGCAAATATCCATTGGCACGGGTATAAAGAAGCAGAAAGCAATATAGAATTGTATTGGTAATTTAAAAGGAGGAATCGTTACATTGACGTAAATCACCATTGTTTCTTAAATGGGGGTGCTGGGGAAGGGGAAGCGCACAATTTTAAATAGCGTCACCTGCTGGGATCCTTAGGGCTGTCTTGAAAAAGAAACAGATGTATAATTGAAATGAGTTTTTATTATTTTTCTTCTTCCTGAAAGTGGCTTCCTGAATTCATGATTAAAAATAAATAAAAATAAACCTTTGTCATCAGTGGGTTCAGTGTCAGATAAGATGCCGTAAAATCAACAGGAGTGGTAATATTTTATTTTATTTTATTAAATACTAGTAGTTGCATGAAGATCGATCAGTGAATCCCATTTGCTGCATCAATAACCAGCTTGTTGTTTTAAACAGGGGTGGGAAAGCGGTTTCTAGGCAGCGGCTGTTGGACTACATCTCCCATCAGTCTCAGTCACCATGACCAAAGGTCAGGGGTGATGGGAGTTGTAGTCTGGACGGTGCTGAGTTGCCTACCCCAGTGTTACATCATCCTCATTTATTAAATCATCATCCTCATTTATTATTACCACCAATTAACAAGATAAAATAAAACACCTCTGTGCCTCGAGTTGACCTGTTCTGTCTCACTGATTCCGTATCTCTAATGGTCCATTAGTGCTCTCCATGTCACATGATCTTATCGGGTGATTATCACATGCCTTTTAACATTAAATACACCTGCCCGCTGCCTGCCCCAGAAATACATTGGTGGCTGGTTCTCACTGGAACTGGTAGGAGTGAAGGCAGCAAGAGGTGGAGCCAGAGGCAGTGACAGGCAGAGCCACTCCCTGATTGGTCCTCAGTAAGGAGGCTGGCAGGTGGGGGCTAATTGAGGGCACACTGGTGGGGGGGGCAGTGCTCCATTTACCCTGATGGACCACTGCCCCTATGCCTCCCCTGTTCCTCTCTCTCTCTCTCTCTCACACACACACACGTACCTCCCTCCTCCTCTCAAACACTGCAGTTTTCATCCCAGGCTGCAAAGTGGACAAGCACATCCCTCATCTCCGTAAGGCATAAACAGGCCCCTAGTAACATGCATTTAAATAGCAGTACAGTTAAAATTAATATCCACATAAATCAGGCATCCCCAAACTTGGCCCTCCAGCTGTTTTGGGACTACAATTCCCATCATCCCTGACCACTGGTCCTGTTAGCTAGGGATGATGGGAGTTGTAGTCCCAAAACATTTGGAGGGCCGAGTTTGGGGATGCCTGACATAAATAGTCTGAGGTGGTCTAAATCGGCTTATGCACGCATAAAGGTTATACATACGTTAATTGAACATTCATGTAACATGTACAGTGGTACCTCGGGTTAAGTACTAAATTCATTCCGGAGGTGCATACTTAACCTGAAACTGTTCTTAACCTGAAGCACCACTTTAGCTAATGGGGCCTCCTGCCACCGGAGCACGATTTCTGTTCTCATCCTGAAGCAAAGTTCTTAAGCCGAGGTAATATTTCTGGGTTAGCGGAGTCTGTAACCTGAAGTGTCCGTAACCTGAAGCGTATGTAACCCAAGGTACCACTGTACTTGGATTCCTTGCATTTGCTTTTATAAAATTATTACGAGCAAAAGAATGATTCGGAACTTGAGGAAAGCCTTTCTGGAT